AAAAAGCTTTTTAAGGTCTCTGTTGAACACCTATTTGATAACCTTGAGTCTGGAAAAAGAAATTATTGTTTTGGAAAAAATCTCAAAAATTGTAGGTCCCAAAATCTGTACGAACCCTGTAGAACAGACAAGCAACCAACCGTATGTACTGCAAACCAAGGAAGCAGAAGTATTTCTTGTGTTTGACTGCATAGTACGGTGACAAGAAATGTGATGCTAAATGTTTGAAGTATAGCTTGTAAAATATGTGAAGCTCAGCCACATTTTTGAATCAGAAGCTTAATGTGCTTTGGAATGTCAGACATAGGCTGATAGTAAGATTCCTTTCTGTCCAGGTAACTGCTTAACAATAAGCTTTAAAATCTTCAATGGTCTTTGGGAATCTCTGTTGAAATCCTTAGTAACTCCCAGGATTTTATTTTAAACAGAAAGAGTAAGTGTTTGAGAAAAAAACCTGTCTAAATTCATCATGGGCAAGATGAAATCTGATATGCTTTTTTGTTGTTGTTTTCAGTCAACTGGAGTGTTAAGGCAAACCGCAGGAAGACAACAGGGACTGGCCGCATGCGACACTTGAAGATTGTCTACCGCCGTTTCAAGAACGGATTCCAGGAGGGAAGTCAGGCCAAATCTCAGAAGAGAAAGGGTGGTGCTGCTGCCACTTCTAGTGCCGCAAGCCAGTGAACAATTCCAGCAACATGTACATGTAATAAAAATTGTTTCTAACAACAAAATTTGTGTAGCCTGTTGATTTGAATATGTAGTCAACAGTTACCGGCACCGTACTTAGAACGACTAATAATTAGTCGTTCTAAGTTAGTTTTGCTTGAGTCCGTCAATTATTGACGGACTCAAGCAAAACTAACTACCAGATCTAATGACTGGACAACTGACAATTTGACTAACAATAAACGACTGTAAAACTGCGATAATAGATGAATCGAAATGCATCAATGACATCTTAAGTTTCCATATCCTTTAACATCACAGCTTGACTGACAGATTACCAATAGCATTGCAAATTAATGGACCAATCAGGTAAAAAGCAGAGTTTGATATTACCACCATTTGATGTAGCCTGAGATCAGGCTCAATTTTTGTTTCACTTTGTAAATAACATTCTGATTGGCAAGGCGAAACGAGCGGTAGCGGTAGCCATTAGAGAGAATGTATGAGAACCGCTAAAATTGGGCCTGATCTCAGGTTACATTTGATGTGATACAACTCACTTTGACTCAGAAGATGACTACCGCACAGGTTTTTGAAGCGTTATCCACTGTCATCAACAGTCATATTCAGGACTACTCTCACCCAGATGATCATGTTCAACTTACTTATGAAATGACTCCTGGGTTCCAGCCTTTCACATGTTGATTTTAAGTGTGAAGGAACACACAAAAATTACAGACCTTGGCGGCTTAAAATATTAGCGCTTTGCCCGGAACACCCTAAGCGAGACCAAAATCCAAAATTTACACCCCTAAGCGAGACGACGAGCATCCCCGTCTGTTTCATATGGGAGTCCCCCCCCCCCGGGTTTCATTCTCTAGTTGGGAATTTTGGAATCAATTTTTCCAAACAATGGTCTGTCACCCGGTCCTCCTAGCTTTTAAGAGGGGCTTTTAGAAAAAAATAATCAGTCATGCTCTCTAAGGGTTAAGGTGACAGGGGAAATAAAATGTGAACGTACCTATTACCGCTGTAAAAAAAATACCGTTGCAAAAAAAAATAAAAATTAACTTACGTCTAGACAATAATCAATTTCTCTTTTGATGCCCGGAATCCATTTTCTTACTTCTGAAGCGCTGTTTAATGAGCTCTACAAAAAATCAATAACGTGCAGAATGAGCTTACGACAGACATTAAGAACGAAAATTTTGACTAAATCTAGCGCAGTGTGCATGCACACATGCACACGCAGTCTTACAAGGCTACTAACTAGATGTGGTCTTTTTGGTCTTTTTTCCAGCTCATCTGCAATCAAATGATAAAGAAGTTAAATGAGCCCTCCTATCGACTAATGATGCCTTAAATAAGTTCTAAATTTGAACCTTTTCGTTGTTTTTCCAGCCATAATCGGTTAAGCCCAACGAGCTTCTTTTCGCAGTTCCGCGCCATCTTTGTTTTGTGCACAATCATTGCAGGCTCAAACAAAGGCCCCAGCGCGTTATGGGGATAAGTCCTTTGCCTGGTTTCTAAGCCGTCCTCTCTTTTACGGCCTTATCAAGAAATGGTGAGTTTTTCGTAAACCTTGGGTGAAAATCCGTTTCCATCTCGTAGCAGAATGACTGATATTTAAATCTAATTCGATTTAATTAAAGAATAATGTTATTTCGTTCGATTTGTGGTGTAATGTTGTGGTACGATGGCTTGAAAAGATTTTAAAATGGTCAAAAGTGGCAGGGGAGGTTACGGAGTCTTCACAACCTGAAAATAATGTGAGGGAACTCATAAAAACCCTTGCAACTTGTGTTTTCGTGGTGAAATGGCTATGAATATTCTTTGTAGATGCGTAACCAGCCAGCTTTCGTTCGTGTATGATACTATGCGTGTTGATTTTTGCCAATAGCTTGACGTGCTGCAAAGGAAAAATAGGACCTATGGCACATGTCTAATTTGTTTATATGTTTTTGTAAGCGTCCTATTATTACCTAACGTTTTTTCGCCAGCCATTCCTCTCCAACAAATGTCTGATAAACTTCTTAATAATATCGCCAAAGCCACCATGTTGTGTAGTCATCTCGGGACTCTAATTTGTGTTTCAGACTAAGGGAACATCAAGTTTTGGTAAGCGCCATAACAAGACACACACTCTGTGTGTGCGCTGTGGACGGTCAGCATACCACATCCAGAAAAAAAGATGTGCATCCTGTGGATACCCACGCTCTAGAACCAGGAAATGTAATTACTGTTTTTTTGATGTGTTCTTACATTAGTAAGTGATTTATGTTGAGGTCACCAACTGTCGGCCGACAGTCACCTCACAGTCGGCCGACAGTTGGCGGAAAAACTTCACATAAGACAGCAAACGACAGTCTACCCACTGTGGGCCAACAGTCAGCTAACAGTTTTTGGAGGAGCTGTTCTCCACTTTTTCCACTTTAGCTAGTGCAGTGAAGAGAATGCATGTGCTTGTAGTTAGTTATGAATTCGTTGTACATGTAATTTTTTCTGGCATCCACTTTCAGTTTGATCTTCCTTTTGCTTCCATGTATATGTAGTATTTGTGTATTATTGTCAAATCTTATTCAATTTTGCCTGTACGTTTGCAGTTCATCATGAAAAAAAGCTTTTTAAGGTCTCTGTTGAACACCTATTTGATAACCTTGAGTCTGGAAAAAGAAATTATTGTTTTGGAAAAAATCTCAAAAATTGTAGGTCCCAAAATCTGTACGAACCCTGTAGAACAGACAAGCAACCAACCGTATGTACTGCAAACCAAGGAAGCAGAAGTATTTCTTGTGTTTGACTGCATAGTACGGTGACAAGAAATGTGATGCTAAATGTTTGAAGTATAGCTTGTAAAATATGTGAAGCTCAGCCACATTTTTGAATCAGAAGCTTAATGTGCTTTGGAATGTCAGACATAGGCTGATAGTAAGATTCCTTTCTGTCCAGGTAACTGCTTAACAATAAGCTTTAAAATCTTCAATGGTCTTTGGGAATCTCTGTTGAAATCCTTAGTAACTCCCAGGATTTTATTTTAAACAGAAAGAGTAAGTGTTTGAGAAAAAAACCTGTCTAAATTCATCATGGGCAAGATGAAATCTGATATGCTTTTTTGTTGTTGTTTTCAGTCAACTGGAGTGTTAAGGCAAACCGCAGGAAGACAACAGGGACTGGCCGCATGCGACACTTGAAGATTGTCTACCGCCGTTTCAAGAACGGATTCCAGGAGGGAAGTCAGGCCAAATCTCAGAAGAGAAAGGGTGGTGCTGCTGCCACTTCTAGTGCCGCAAGCCAGTGAACAATTCCAGCAACATGTACATGTAATAAAAATTGTTTCTAACAACAAAATTTGTGTAGCCTGTTGATTTGAATATGTAGTCAACAGTTACCGGCACCGTACTTAGAACGACTAATAATTAGTCGTTCTAAGTTAGTTTTGCTTGAGTCCGTCAATTATTGACGGACTCAAGCAAAACTAACTACCAGATCTAATGACTGGACAACTGACAATTTGACTAACAATAAACGACTGTAAAACTGCGATAATAGATGAATCGAAATGCATCAATGACATCTTAAGTTTCCATATCCTTTAACATCACAGCTTGACTGACAGATTACCAATAGCATTGCAAATTAATGGACCAATCAGGTAAAAAGCAGAGTTTGATATTACCACCATTTGATGTAGCCTGAGATCAGGCTCAATTTTTGTTTCACTTTGTAAATAACATTCTGATTGGCAAGGCGAAACGAGCGGTAGCGGTAGCCATTAGAGAGAATGTATGAGAACCGCTAAAATTGGGCCTGATCTCAGGTTACATTTGATGTGATACAACTCACTTTGACTCAGAAGATGACTACCGCACAGGTTTTTGAAGCGTTATCCACTGTCATCAACAGTCATATTCAGGACTACTCTCACCCAGATGATCATGTTCAACTTACTTATGAAATGACTCCTGGGTTCCAGCCTTTCACATGTTGATTTTAAGTGTGAAGGAACACACAAAAATTACTTTGCCTTCTGTCTTTTCACTTAAAAATCACAGATAATGTTAGTGGCTCATACTACATTTTGGTATATCTTTTGTGATCCTTAACTGAACAGTACACCACAAGCGGTCCATCTTTCCTCAGAGCCACGAGCAGCGTGCAAAAAGGTAAAATTATGCAAACTAATGGCAAAAAGTGGGGAGCCACCGTTGTTTTTCACAGACGTCACCGCTCACCCCTCATCCGTGCCCTCGTTTCTCATGCTCGCATTCAACCGTGTCTCAAAATAAAAATAAGAGACTACTTGCAGTCTAACTGCACAGATACATGTCATAGTTGCCACATGTGAAGTGATACATGTCATAGAAAATGTAGAAGATGTAGGCCATTTGTGCTGAATTAGATCCTTGATTTGCGTAATATAAAACCAAGAGTGCATTCATCAACAGTGAGCCTCTTTCAGAAGTTTGCTTTGTAATTTTTTTTTTCGTTTTTGTTCCTCACTTGTCTGCTACACAGCTGTTTTTAGTGTCATCACACAACGCTCCACCCCACAAGTAGTTAGTGGGGAGGAGCGTTACGTGACGACTCTAAAGACGGCTGCGTAGCAGACTAGTTCTTCACAGGAGCCTCAAAGAAGTTACAAGTCAAAATGTGCGCTTATTATTTCTGGTGATTGTACCAGCATTGCAAATTGTTTTGTTTTTTGGTTATTTTCCTACACTTTGGGTGATCTCAATAATACACGCCGGGCCCCACCCTCTCCTTGGAAGAGATGCGGAAGAGCCAACAGTATTCACTTACGGTATCTGGTCCGCCTTTTTTCCGTGTGCAGAAAATGTCCAAACGAGGAAGAATCTCTTTCCTCCACGGAGGCTCCCGCTTTGCATCCCATTAAAAATGGCAATAATTGAAAAATAACAAGTGCGCGGGAGCGACACAAAAGGGGGCTTAAGCAACGACGACGGGGACGCCAACGAGAACGGCAAAACGACAACTTTGCACGTGCATCACGCTTTTTTGTACATTTCTATACCGTCACTGCATGACTACAACGTGAAAGTGCCTAAATTCACGTTTGTCGAGGACGGGAACACGAGACAACAACTTTCTTTTTCTTTTCCTGAACTTTGATACAGTCCTTTAGAATTTAACTACGAAAAAATTTGATAACATTTGACGAATGAAACGTCGCCGTCGTTGTCCGGTTTAAACTCCCTTACAGAGGTCTCTGTGGAGACAGAGAGATGCATGAGAATCTAGATCCCGAGCACAGCGGAAGAACAGTTTCGTTTTTTGTGTGTGAAATAATTCCGTGTTTGGTTTTGGCTGGGCAGGTGAAGTCAAACTCTGTTAACCCGATAGCATTTTTGTTCTCATTTACATTACGTCATTGGTGACCTATACGAAAGAGGGGTACGGCAAATGTGATCTATTTTGACTTGAAAGATTAAAGGCGATAACCAATCCAAATGCGTGTGAACTACATGCCTGCATTATTTAATGTTCCATTTGGTTAAGAGACCATGGAAAAGCTGCCTAAGCGATCACGCAATAGTTGTCGTCTTCCTTTGCCTGTTCAAACGAAGCGGAACTTAATTTACACACCGGCCTCAATCTTTTTGGTAAGAACTGTTTCGAACGGGGAATGGAGTTAAGGCGTCATCAGTCAGTCTTGACTGAAACTTCCAAACGAGCCCTTGCAACGAACAAGGGCCAATCAAAGACTTTGAAGTCTACATTTGGAACACTTGAGAGTGACTTTAAAGCAAAATGCCACATAGTGAACGCCGAGCAAGCGAGGTTTGTTCGTATGATAAAGACGAAGCTTCCAGCGATTAAGGTGGCTTACAATGATGAAACTGGATCGACTCGTCGCCAGTTTTCTCCATCCTCAACGCCCCCCATCTCCCCACCGCTTGAAAGGAAAACGTCAGGTCTACCGTCTCTGAATCAAGAGCATACACCTCTTGCTCGTCGAAGATCCAGATCGTTCTCAGACTTGGTGCAAGCAGTTAAAGAACAAGAAAAACTAGCGCTGGAGAAGATGACTCGACATAAATCTGCTGAATATCTTCAAGAAAACGAAGGAGGAAACGAGCAAAGAATGAGCATTGGAAATCGGCCAAGGAGTCACTCAGACATTGACCAGTCATGGGACTTTTACGCCGCTAAACAGGGTGAAGACGGCAGCAAATGCTTACACTTGAGTCTACCCCGTAGACAGAAATCATTTGAACATATTCGATTAATAGAGGGTGAAAACGAACACAGGAAAGTTGTGGGGAATCGACCAAGAAGTCTCTCGAATATAGAACAGCCACGGAACTTAAACGTTGACAAACATGAACAAGAAAGTAAAAAACGCTATTTAAGTTTACCCGTTCGAAAGCAGTCAGCACCGATTTCTCCGGTGCTTACTTTGAAATCGCACACGTACACGCACGCTGAAACTCGCGAGTTAACAAACAAGAAACCGCTTTCTAAACAACTGGAAGATGTAAAAGATTTACGGTATTTAAGATCCGGAAAGTACTCAAGCGAGACCATGGACATGAATTCGAACATGAGCAATGATTCACCTGAATGGTAACGATCGTACAAGCATGTCACAATTACAAATAAACAATGAAATTAGTGAACTGCTTTGTATCTTAAACAAATGTTAGTGTGTTTAACTGACTGTATAAAGCGTTTGCACGTTTTTTTTTTTAATTATCATAACGTGTTTCTTTTAGATCGAAGAGTAATTTAAGATTGATTGTCTAAACAAAAGAAAAGGGATTATTTTAAAGGTTTATTGTTTGTATATACATATATTGTTTAACAGTTACGTCAAACGAAACAGTGTCGGCATTCGACGAGAAAAGCGGAAATTGACTTTTTAAGACAATGAAAATCGAAACGTACTCCTAAACAGGTTTCATTTGAAAAGTCAAAGGATTTTGTCCGGAGACTCAACAGTAAGAAAAATGCTTTCAGATCTCAAGAACTAATTGTAGTGGAGAGGGTTAACTTTTTAAATCCTATTAAGAAGAGTGCACAGATAGACAATAAAGGTTAGTGCGTAATTAGTGGTATTGGAGTGTATCCAAAGACTGATTTGGACTCGAAACATTTCTGACGCACGCAATGGGCTAACGGTGGAATTCTTTGACAATAATGTATCATTTCAACAAAACTATCGACCTCTTAGTTTGCAACGCAAGTTCTGTACAAACTGAGTTCAATTTATACAAAAACGAAGCTTTTAATAAAGAATAACAATATTCTTGAATCTGATTGGCTATTACAGTCCTGATCTAATACGTAACTGACAGAAGCACGGACCATCACCCACGGTGTAATTAACAATTGCACTTGAATGGGTTACACTTTTTACTCACGTCCAAAAACAAACTTGTTTGTTTTGTCTATCAATACCGGTATCAATACCGCGCATGTTTTCCTTAAACATAATTTTGTTATGGTTAGGTCTGTAAGACAGAGTGGAGTCGAATTAGCATTGAAATCATACAAATCGTTAAACTAAGCTTGTCGACCGACAGAATTTGAGTTCTTCAGTCCTTTTACCTGTTCCATGATTATTTTATCATTTGACTCAGATAATAAAATTCTCGAATCTGATAACAAATTTCACCATATAGTGAAAAAATGCCTAGGGAAATTAAAAACCAGGACGGACATTTAATTGTTTATTTAATTTTTTTTTACGAGGGAAAAATGCATTAACCCGACACCCCATCAAAATTTTAATATGGAGTAGCAAAAAACAGTGCTGTTGAATTACCACGTGGTTGTAATGTGACTGCCTAAACAAGCCAAACAGGAACGAGTGAATGATCCGAGTAGAGAATGGGTAAAAACTATAAAGGGGAATCGACTTGCATTGGCTCAGTTTTGTAATTTCTCAAAGACAACACAGACAACTGTTGATTGAAGAAGGCTAAACAACAACTAATCAGAAAAGAAAACTTTTCAATTCAAAAGCCTTAAAAATACACTTTAATTTAGCTCATTAGTTCTCGAAATTGATTACTACTCTAAATGTTTTCTCAAGTACAACTGTTGAATATCCAATTGCAATTCATGATTCTGATGGGCTAAATCGTCGCGAATTTTCTTCCTCAGAGCTACAAGTGCTTGGGCGGGTGGTAGATGTTTGGATAACTCCAGAGATGATTCTGCCACAATAACAATCGGCTGAGGGGGTCTATTTGAACTCGACGACCTCGCCCGCGGGACTTTAGCTTTTTCAAGGCGAGGTACAGTTCTTACGATCGGCGCTGATTTACAAAACGTTACCCGTTTTTTTGGTGTGGCACCGTCGCCTTGGAAGGCACCTTTTTCACAAGAACTCGGTGATACTTGTATTGAAAAAGTAGGGCAATCCTCACCTATACTGTAATCATTTTCGCTTTCATCTTCAGAACTTGAGCTTTGATTGAGCTCAATAAACGAGTCTTTTTCTTCACTTGCTTGATTGTCCACTGACAAAAAACTGCTGCTATTTTCCACCTCCCCTTGCGATGTTGGTATTTTGATGGGAACGCAATTATTAAGTCGTGAATCAAAGTTAACTCTGGGGCTCGACGGAGGAGCAGCAGGAGCCGTGTGCGGTCGTCGCGGCTTCCGAATGTCCATTGTCGCTTCTTCGCCATCTTTTCGCGACCTCTCGTGACTTGTCTTCGGGCGGGCTTTCCCAGCAACGTCCGGTTGAAAATTGCTCTTTCTAGTATCATCAAGTTTTGTCGAATTCTTTGTATCTTCCTCCAACATTTCCTTTTCACTTTTATCACTTAAATCTTTCTCCGTTACATCCGTGATAGTTTTACTAGTAACGGTACCTTCGTCCTCGAAACTTACTTTCTTTGAAATACTCTCAACAAGGTTTAAATCTTGCGTCGTTTCATTTCCGCTAAGATTCAGAGTGTGGCATTTTCTTTCACTACTATCCTTCCTGTCCCCGCTTCTTGTATCCTCGACTTCGACAAAGGTAATACACTTCTCGGCCGAAGAAATTAAGTTTCTTCGATCTGGATAAACCCAGCGGCTCTCTAAGCCCACTTTGTAAGCCGATGGATGGTTTTTAACCTCGTCTCCTTTCGAATATTTTTCCTGTTCCCTTGGTTTCGTCGCGTGAAAGACAACTGGATGTGTTTCGCATAAGTTCTGAAAAGAATAGGAACAGGTCCGAAATCACATGTATGTTTTATGTCTGGTCTGTTGTTACTTATAATTCTAATACTACTTTCATTAATATTGCCATACTACATCATCATCATTATCATCAGCACCGTCGTCGTCATGGTCACCTTCATTAGGGACCTTAAGCAGCGACGACCACGACAACAACAACAACAACGTCATAAAATAATTGGTTTTATGAGTAAAACAACAACTCTGCACGTCCATCACGCTTTTTAGTACATTTCTTTGACGTCCACTGCACGACTACGACGTGAAACCTCCCAATGCGACGTTTTAAGGTGATGTTACATGGGACAATTCGCAACGAGGATTTTTAGCGCAAAACAGCGTTGCAAATCTTGCAATGTTGGAACAATGTTGTAACCATTCGACAACAATGTTGCGACTCTGTGTTGCGCTAAAAATCGTCGTTGCGAATCGTCTCAGGTAACATCACCTTTGTGTGGACATACGACGACAATTTTCCCTTTCCTATTTGAACATGGATAAAGCCCTTAAGAATCCACTCCANATGTTTTATGTCTGGTCTGTTGTTACTTATAATTCTAATACTACTTTCATTAATATTGCCATACTACATCATCATCATTATCATCAGCACCGTCGTCGTCATGGTCACCTTCATTAGGGACCTTAAGCAGCGACGACCACGACAACAACAACAACAACGTCATAAAATAATTGGTTTTATGAGTAAAACAACAACTCTGCACGTCCATCACGCTTTTTAGTACATTTCTTTGACGTCCACTGCACGACTACGACGTGAAACCTCCCAATGCGACGTTTTAAGGTGATGTTACATGGGACAATTCGCAACGAGGATTTTTAGCGCAAAACAGCGTTGCAAATCTTGCAATGTTGGAACAATGTTGTAACCATTCGACAACAATGTTGCGACTCTGTGTTGCGCTAAAAATCGTCGTTGCGAATCGTCTCAGGTAACATCACCTTTGTGTGGACATACGACGACAATTTTCCCTTTCCTATTTGAACATGGATAAAGCCCTTAAGAATCCACTCCAGGAAAAGTCGCCTACATTTGACGAACTGAGCGGTTCCAAATAGACGCGATAAAGTTTGAAAGGACGCAAATTCATTTTTTTAGTCACTGATGTCGTCGTCGTCGTTGCTTACGGTCCCTATCATTATCATCATCATCATCATCATCACCATCATCATCACCGCCATTGTCCGCGTCAATCACCGACTTCCTTATCATCATCGTTACGTTTTTACGCCATAGATACCCTATTGAACCTAAAAATATTTGCTTTACTTTATTCATTTTGCTTTAAGGCTGTTTAACCCCAAATTATTTGCTTTTCCTCATTCATTTTAGTTTAAAGCTGTAAGTGGGATTACATGGACAGTCTAGAGAGTTTACAATACAAATTTTTATTTTTTACTTTATGTAAAACGAGTATTAGTTGTAATATTAGTTGTATTGTAGATATATCATGGTGAAAGACCTGAAAACACTTTTTGTGAAAAATGTTGGGCACAAAATCTACCCACCCCCATCACCCCTCACACTTTTAAGTTTTATAAGTTATAATAATAATAAATATTTTTTGCTTACACTGTTAAAAGTTTAGTATTCAGTTTCCACAAACCTGAGATTTACCTTTAACAGTTTGGAAAAGAATGAATGCAAAACGTTATACTTCGTACGCTGATGTAGTTCTATGATCGCTTGACTGGATGGGTCAAAATGTAGAAAATTAAAGTGTTAGCAATGTCTTTTATAGATGTTTATGGGGTAAGGACATTATCAGTTCCATTCTTTAATTCAGTCATACAGTATTCCTATTATCGTTTTTAATTACTACAAATTCTAAACAGACTCCACTGATAACTATTTGGGCTAAAAAGGGTTGACCGGTGCTACATTTATACATTAATGAAATTATGTCCTTGTAAATGTTAAGTTCTTTATGGGAAAGTCGGTAATGAAACCCCTAGATCTACGTTAACCTTTCTACAGCATGGTTTTCACTTGCAATGCAACGCAAGCACAAGGCAAGCTTTAACTTTGCTTAAGGTTTCAGCTGAAGGCTTCACGTTTTTGTTGTTGTAAACATTCACCAGAGTGAAAACTGTCAGTGTTTTCCGTGTCTCATATCACTGCACTTTCCATCATGGTTTTGTCACGTGCTGTTGTATCCTGAGCACAGTACATTATTACTGAATTGCATCATGATCAGTAGCCTGTGCATATAGACGTATTTCCAGTCATCGCTACTCTCCACCCGAAAAATAACAGGGAGCTTTAGCATCACCGACGGCGACGGCTGCGAAAAAGTCACTTTTAAAATGAATTCGCCGGCGTTTTTTCAAAGTTAGTCGCGTTTATTCCAATTCACTGAAAATGTCAAATGTGGGCGAATTTCACTGCAGCTGATTTCTTGGGGACCAGACTCAAGCTTAGAAAGAGAAAGGAAAATTCGTCGTCGCTTGTTTACGTTCTCCATAAATCATGAAATTAGGCATTTTCACGTCGTAGTCGTGCAGTTACGGCAAAGAAATGTACAAAAAAGTGTGATACACGTGCAAAGTTGTTGTTTTGCTAATCAAACCTATTGTTTTTTTTTTTGCCGTTCTCGTTGCCGTCGCCGTCGTCGTTGCTAAAGCTCCCTAACGTCTGCTTACGGTGGAGAGAAGCGACGACCAGAAATACATCTACGTTGCTAGGGTACAAGACCAAGATACATTTGCAGGGGCAGATCTAGGGGGAGGGTGCAGGGGGTGCGCACCCCCCCTCCCCCTCCTGAGATGACCTGCGGTTTTCTAATGCAAAAAAAAAACTATGTGGTTTATTG